GAACTGATACGAGGGAAGCCTAAGCTCCCCTCTGACAGTACAGTTGCTGGGCGAATCTGTTGGCCAGCTGCTTGAAAGGAGGCGATTCTGCCGCTCTCCCCACTCTTGCAGCAGTGCCTCTCTGGCCCTGCGGTGAGTCAGTTCATGGAGCTCAACTCACAGGAATTGCCTGGTTTTTCTTCCCCATGATTATTTTTCTTTCTGTTAGCTGAGCTCCCTGAACCTTTGATATCATGGGATCACAGAAGTGTTGGCATGAAAAAAGAAATGCGAGCATGCTCTAGGCAAGAGAACTTCAGCGGACCATTGTGGCAGTAGACAGGTACGCGCGATCCTGATTTAGTGCCTGGTTTAGACTGGTATAACATGGCACTGCTGCAAAGAGAAGCGACCTTGATTTTCTGTTCCCACCCTAACACTGAATCTTAACTAGGCTGAAAGTTGTGGTAGTGTGCCCAAGGCAGCAGAGATACGTGGTGGTTGATCTAGTTGTACAACTTGTTTATTTCCACTTTACCAGTGGTTAAGATAGGAAAAGAGGAAAACCCTATCCTGTTGGAGGAATTAATGCTGGTGGTTAAGAAGGTAGTACTCTCCCCTTGGTGCTGAGCTGATGACTTAGCTGAGGGTAAACACAAGTGGGCAAAGTTTAATGCTTCTTCTTTCAGCTGCTATCGTTTACTCCTTGAGCACTGAATGGGTAAGGTGACTTGCTTTTTATTATCTGCTGTTGCATCATTACCTATGATGTTTATGGTAATACTAATATTAGCATTAGGGCTTCCTTGAGTGATGTGCAACACTAAAGCCCTGACTAATGATGGCTGCAGAAATCTGGCAGTGCAGAGGGTCTTGCACTGATCAGATCCTAACTGTGATGATATCTTAAGTAAGTTGAGATACCAGTTTTAGCTGACTTCTTGTCAAAAACAAAGCAGTTGTAAGGCATTAAAAGCTGTTGCTGGGGAAATGTCATTTTTCTGGAAGCTTTCTAACAGCAGAGATTTTTCTGGCTGTGCAATCTTACCAATACTCACTGTAGCTTTTTAACACAAGAATGTAAAACTGAGAGTATATGATTCAAAATCTGAGTTCCAGATGCTGGCTTAAATGTAATTGAATGCTTTCAAGTTTGGGACAGTGAAAATTTCCAAAGTAGAATGAGGCCAAGAAACCCATCTTCTTATTCCTCCGCCCCCACTTCTGGAAACAAATGCTTCCTAATTGTAGTTAGTAAAGATATACTAACAAACCAAGAGATTCAAGAATAAATTAGTTTTCTCTTGGGAGGCTTTGTCAGATGATGCGAAATCAAGGTCTGAGTAATCTCTTGACGATGGGTAAAGGAGGGCCATTCTGTTGCTGTCTTCTATGTTCTTTATTTTTTTAGTAGTTAGTTGAGGGAGAACTTACAGAGGAGAATAGGCTGCAAACTGCTGCAGTGTTAGTTACTGAAGTTCACCGTCATCTCCTACTGTTCAGCTGTGCCGAGTATTGACCTTCAGTGCTCTTACTTGCAATTCTGTGGGCATCTGCAAACCTTTAAGTTTTCAGAGCAGTGGAAGGAACCTGCAGTTTTTAAGTGACAGACTGAAGCAATGGAGAACAAGACCTTAAAGAGACTGGGGCAAAAACTGGAGGATACGGTTGTTCAGTCCCTTTTCTGATGTTGTGAAGCTGTGGATTGTGAATAACAGGGATCTCCTCTTCAGTCAGTTAAAGGAAAAATGTCTTAATGTTACAAGTTCAAAACAATGCTGAAGACTAGATGCTTGAAAGGAGGAGAAGGTAGGGGTAATGAGCCCCCAGCCTATAAAAATTTGGTAAGGAAAGCTGGGAATTTCAGCAGGGAGTTTTTCCTTACCAGCAGTTTCAAATTTTATTAGCAAGTTAATTTTTGAGCTGGTTGGTGTTTGTTCCTTTTTAGGTGTTTAACAGGGCCTCTGTAAAAGGTCTTTAAGACTCAGGTGTTCTGAGTCCTTAAACAATTGAAATTTTCAGCAGGTGAGCTCAAAATTATATGAGTACTCAGTATTTTATGCAGTCCAAGTGAAGTTATTTGAGTGTTAATACCTTACGAATGAAGGGACATTGTTTGTCCAAACGTATGCAAGAGTTGGTTTTGGAGGCGGCTTTGAAAGTGATTAAGACACAGCTTCTCCAAAGAAATGTTCCATGGATGGCCTCTAACCTGGTTGCTGAATAAATTTCAGGTGGCCCTAGCTTTGTGTCTCTGGCTTCTTGCCTAGCAATATGCCTGCAAGACAGCCAATATCTCCTTAGGTAAAGGTGACTCTCTTTCGGTATGTTCAAGTCTTTGTCGCTGTGGGTAACAAAAATGATTCTGGGTTTCTTGTTCTTTTGAATTGTGTTCCCAGTTGTGAATCTTGGCCATCAAGTACTCTGGTGTCGCAGCCGGGTATGGAGAGGAGTTAACTCCCACTCTGAAATTTCGCATGGCTAATCATGCAGGATAGTTGCTCTGCTGGTATACATATTGGACCATGTAATGCATGCTCTTTACAGCCAGCTTTGTTACTAATGCCAAAACCAAAAGTGCTTGGGAAGTTGAGAAATAGATAGATTTGGTGCTGTTGATCACCGGGATGGTTCGCTATCGAGCTGTGGCTTCAGTCCTCGCAGTCTTTAGTTTTGTCATCCAAGGCAATTAGACTGCTGATGTTCTGGATGCTCTCAAATGGGTTGCCTTCCTCTTTGAAAAACATATGCAGTAGATGCCAAGTTAAAAATTAATTCCTTGACATGGAATAAATGAAATCAAAACTTAGGGTTTCTAACTGCCAACTTATACTACAGATGAATGGTAATTAAACCAATTATATAATGTAATAGTCTTAATATTAAATCTGGATGAAACATTTTATTATCAGTATGGACCATTCTTTTATATCAGTTGCCATTGCAACCCGCAGGGAAACAATCTTAAGTTTTACTTCCTATCTTCCTTACACAGTAATTATAATGGGAGCTATCTTTCTGTGGTATCTCTCTAGCTTAAAAATAAAGACAATTAAAAACAATGCAGACAGCCAGCTGTGTTTCAAAACATCTAAGTTTACACATGGAGAGGTTTTTATTAGTTGGCATAATTCTTTAAAATAGCACCTGCATCTCTTTTTTTTTATCTTCTTGGTCTCATTACAGTTCTTTATATTATAAATACAGAACTCCTCAGACAGTGTGGAAATAGTTAAAAGTAAAATCCTCCAAGTATTAGTAATTTAATAATATCCTTAAGGACCTCTTCTGGTAGTGTTTGATGAACCTTGTAGTAGAAGTATTGAAACATAAAAATAAAGATGATTTCAGAGTATCCTGAAAATTCAGTTTATAATTAAAAATCTAACTTCTGCCTTTTAATGTCATTAAAATATCCTGTCACGGGGGGAAATGAATGCTGTGGAAAAATACCTAACCTGCTTCAAGTGATAAAAAAATACAGTAACTTAACTTTGAACTACCACTATGCTTTTTTCCTAAAAGTGTGTTTTAAATGATTAGTTGTTAACAGCTTGTTAACGATGAGATAGTCTCAAGATGTATTTTAATTTTTCCAAAGGCTTATCTGAGACAAAGGGATTGATGCTTTCAGAAGTACTTGGGTTTCACTGTTCTGGGGTGCTAGTTTGCTACAGCACAAAAATACAATAAACCCTAAAAGGCAATTGACAGGGACATGTCTCTTAAGAAATTTTAGCTCAAAATGTCTTTCTTGGTGAAACCTACAAGGCTTCTGAAGGCTCCTGTAAGTCAGAGCTTGAGGTGTTCAGCATAGAAACTAGTATAGGAAGATAAGAGAATATACAGAAAAACAGATGGCTTCCATATGGGAACGAGTTGCATCCACCATACAGAAATGTATGGTAAAAGCCCTTCATCCTAGTTACTTTAAATGAGAATTCCTCATGTTAACAGGAGCACCAGAGGTGAAATACTGTAATTTCTCTCATGATTTTAAGGGGAACACACTTCACTTAGAGTGTGTTGGACATACTTGAGTATTTCTGCATGAGTGATTCACCTCATTAGCATTTCTGCATCTACATGTTCAAGAAATTTTACTAGATCTGATAGTAGCCCTTTAGGCTAGAAATGTAACCATACTGTTTCTTGTATTGCCATCCTTACAGCTGCTTGATGAGGAGAATGGGATATATCGCTGGGAAGTTCACTTCTGTCAGTATTCAAGGCATAGAACAGAAGGGAGTGCGGAGTACGCACCTGCAAATGCCTTTTTCTGAGTCCTTCGGTTGAAATACTGCCAGTTGGATTGCAGGAATCTACTCTTACTGAAAAATTCAGTCCTGTGCTTGGACAAGTGTGAGATACCCTTGCTGTTGCTGATGCTTCACCCAGGGATTTGGGGTGGGAGAGGGGGGGAATTGGTTGGTTTGTTTTTGGTTTGTTTTTGGTTTGTTTTTAAATAGGTCTAAACCTATAAACCATAATTTATCACCACCTGCTGAGTCTTTGTGTTAACTGACCAATCTGTATGCAAATTTTGAAGGAAAATGCAATGTTAAGGTGAACCTGAAGGAACTGAAAAATGTTCAACAGTAACTTAAATTAAAAGGAAGTGGCAGAGGAACTAAATGATACATCACAAGTATGATACTTCAATGTGTTTCTTAATACTTACTATGCATTGTTGCTTCTTTCTACTGTTTCCCGTGGTGAGTAAGACTCTTGAAATGTTTCCAGATTGAGGCACTAACCTACTTCGTGGAGAATTTGTATTTCTTTAAAAGTGGCTCTTTTCAAACCCATGGTTTAGTTGATTTCATAAAAGGTGAAAGTAGTATAAGATAAAACTGCCTGAAAGTTCCCACCAGGTGTTTTTTTTTTTAATTCTTTAAAAATCTTTTATTTACATCTTTTTGGGAAACTTCCACAAACTAACTAGGCAAGAGGCATGTTAAATATGGAGTGGAGTACAGATACTTTTTAAATCTTGTTTTTGTTGTTTCTTTCCCTTGGAGGTTTTGTATCCAGGAATCTTTCATAGCTTTTTTCAAAATATTTTTCCTTTGCATCTTTCATCTTCAGCCCTTGTCTCAGTGTTTGTATTGGAATAAACATTCAATGATAGCAAAACTGAGGAGGAGGAGTTAGGAAGGAAGGTTAAAAGTGGTGATAGACACACCAAGTGATGTGCCATTTCTTGCTGTAGTAATTTTGACCCTTACTTAATGGAGTGGAAGATAATTGGTCACTTTACTGTCAGATTTGATTTCGAGATGGTCATTTCAGTTACGTGCAAGTTGCTATGTGATGGTGGTTTGCATGCTGCTTTCTGCAGGCCCACCAAGGCTTTCTTAAAGCCAGAATAAAGGGGAAAATGTACAAAAAGAACAAGAAGCTTTAAAATTGTATTCCTGTACTTTTAAATTGTATTTAAAATGCACAGAAAAGGCTTACTTTTTCCTTCAAGGAATTAGTTGTCTAGCTAATTCTAGCGAAGGATGAACTATTACATAAAAACTGTCAATGTGGGCAGCTGGCCTGAATGTTTTGTAGAGTAACCTGGGTAGAACTTCTTTTAATACTGTGTGCTGTAGTTATTGTACAGGCCTGCTTTGGTAGTTTGACAGCCTTTCCCTTCCCCCACCCCCCCACCCCATCTATCTATAATTAGTTTTGTTTTTCTAAATAGCTAACTGACTTCATTTTCCTATAGTTGTCTGCTTTCTTGCACTTCTTTGGCTGCTGTGAGGATTGAAGCACTGGCTGTGTTTGCTATAGCTGCTGTGCACAGTTTGCTCAGGCGTGCCCTTGTATACTGTACGCTGGCTCTGAAGGCTGGCAAATTTCTTTTTAACAGGCAAGCTAAGGTTTTCTAGTTTGCCTGCTGCATCCCCTTTGTTTTTCTTCAGAGTTTTCTGCTTTCCTTCTGGACACGCTGCCTGTAGCTCAACAGATGGACTATGCTGTCTGCTCTTTCTGATCTTTTACAGTACAGAATCCTTGCAGAATCCTTTTGCTCTTAGACATCACATGTTTTTCAACACTATCTGTTAATAAACCAGATGATAGTGTCTGGCAGAGGAAAAGAGAGAGATTCTAAAGCTCAGTCTTTGCTGATATGAACTCACTATGCCCAGTGAGATTTTGAGGAACAGTTGAATTGAAAGTGCATTCACTGGATCAGCGATCGAAGTTATTGATTATTGACTTAATCAGCTTGCTCCTAGAGACTGAAGAGATCCTGATTTCTTAATCATGGTTACACATTGAAACGGTTTTCTTCTTTTGGCTCCTTTTTGAGGATAGTTTTGATTTTTTTCTAATGAAGGCAAGACCCTAGGTTTGCACTTGGAAGCCAAGTTGTCTTTTTATAAAAGGCAGCTTTTAATAGGTTTCTGCTGTCTGCAGTTGATGCCTGTTTGGGGGAATAAAAGTGCTGATTCCCTTTCCATCAGTACTAGACTTCTACCATGCAGATTATGGCAGACATTATTGACCTGGCAGATTTTTTTACTTTACTTTGAATAGTGAAAGGAGAAACATGTTTGTAGATGTTCAGCATAAGTTTAACTTTACAGCTGGAGCTGATGGGTTCCTCCTTTTGTATTGTTATTTCCATACTTTTCAAATTCCGTTGTTTTTTTTTTTTAATGTGGACTGCATATATCTTAATCTATTAATGAGTGCTCAGGGCTTGTAAAAGCACTACTGCACTAAATACAGCTACCTAAAGCTCCTATTTTAAAAAAGTGGTAACAAAAACTGTCAGTTGCAAGGCACGTGCAGTTGCAATCTGTCTCTGGGATGTGGCAGGACAAGATGGAGATATGTATTAGCTGTATGTTTTATGTGTTGCCTCCATATTGAAATATTAATATTTCCTGCTAGTTTGGCTAGGTCATAAGTCCTTGAAAAGTTTTCATAACATCATGTAACACGCTGCCGGTTACTACCAGTGCACAGCAGCTGCACTTACCCATGTAGGGTGTGAGCTGAGCTCTCAAGTTGCATGTAGTAGAGGTAAAAAATGGCTTTAGCTCACCTTGGATTTGCATCCCCTCTTGATAAGAGGGTTAAGGTATGCGGTTTTGTCAGGCAATGGACCTTATGCCAGAGGCTGTCATCTTTTGGCCCAGATAGTAGTATCTGAAGAATGACTTTAGATTTATCGTTCCTGGACACAGCACAGAATAAAGGAGAGATGTAAATTACAGTGTATGGGCAATAACAAAGATGATAGACAGACTTGATAGAAAACAAGGAAAAGAGGATTTTTTGATTGTCAGTGTTCTTCCTTAAAACTCCTTGGAAAAACACTGATGGTGCCTCCTTTCTCTTTTTTCACCCATTTGTGTAGTTACAGCAGCTTGCTGCTGGCTGTTAATCCATCGGTTCAGATGATGGATCTAAAAACGCCAGCTCTTCAGCTGGTTTATGTGGGCTTTGACATTTTGCTTGGGGGAGACCTACATTAGAGTAACATTGAGTGCACAGAATGGATGCATCAAAAGTCAGCTAAGGCCAAATTTATAATTGTTTGTGTGGCTTGCTTTCATTTGTGCGAAGTTAGAGCAGAGATGATGGACAACTACAAGGACTTAAAGATGTTAGAAGGCTTGATATAAAATGATAGCTGAAATGCAGTGTAGGTGAATGTAAAGTGATATATATGCAGATTGCTTTTGTGCTGTATGCTCAGTGAACATCTGTTAAAGCGCAGGAGCTAGGTCTTGGGCCTGTGTGCAGTTCACAGTATCAGCAGCTCAGTACTCGGAAGTAGTCAAAAAAGCAAATTGCTTTTTTTGAGGGATCAGAGAACAAGAGATACCGCACGATCAGACTGTGGATCTGTGACTGTTTTGCCTCTTGGATGCTGTATGTAGCTCTCACCCTGGCCTCTCCAGAAAAGTATAGAGCTAGAAGAGTGTTACAGAAGAGCAGCAGAGGCGATCAGAGGCACGAAATGGCTTCTTCTTGATGAAGTATGCTAGATTATTAAGGCTGTTTTCCAACACAGGTAGAACTGTGCAGCAATTAAGCGAACAGGTGGTGATTTTGAAATGATAAAGTCCTCCCTTTAACAATGTACAGGTAATCAGAGGGAGTCCTTGGTACAGGGGCTTTTGTGGATGCTCTGTTTACGTGATGCTAAGAAGAGTGTATGAGTGCACAGAAGAGAAATAGATCAAATGCTATTTAAGTGGAAAAATACCCCCATCTTAATAAATACTTGAGGGGTACATTTTTGGTGGCTGTGGAGGTGTTTAGAGAAATGCTGACGTCTGTTTACTCAGTTGTATGAGCTACCTCAGATGTATGTTTTTGGCCACTGTTGAAGGCAGGAACTTTGGTCTGACCCATGTGGCTGTTTTTGCTGGATGATGGTTTTAAAATCGCATTGTTTAATAATACTGCTTTTGTGTAGGATAGGGAACCATCCTGTGCACTTGGTGAACTGATGTAGAAGTTGTCTGTGCTTGACAACGCTACCTTGTTTCAAAGCTGAAAGTAGGTGATGTGCAATATGATAAATGATAGTAATACAGTGCTTAAGGTAGTTGATATCAAAACCATTGGGCATTCATACTGCTGCAAGATCTGCAGTATTTGTCATATCCCAGCCTGTACAGCTTGTTCCAGTTCTGCTGCACATGCATCATGTAGAAGTTGTCTGTGCTTGACAACGCTACCTTGTTTCAAAGCTGAAAGTAGGTGATGTGCAATATGATAAATGATAGTAATACAGTGCTTAAGGTAGTTGATATCAAAACCATTGGGCATTCATACTGCTGCAAGATCTGCAGTATTTGTCATATCCCAGCCTGTACAGCTTGTTCCAGTTCTGCTGCACATGCATCTGTCCTCCTCCCAAAGGTGCATGGAGTGTCTTGTGCCACCTCTCTGCAGGGCACAGAGAGGGACTGGAACTCATCGGCAGTGCTTTGCTTTTTTGTCCTCTCAGAAGAGTGCAGCAGCAAAGTACCCAATGTGCTGAATTGTTACGGCTCTGGACACTGGTTGAATATGAGGGGGACTGTAAAAACAGAAGGCTCATATCCCATTATGTAGAAAAGGAGAAGGGGGCCCCAGTGCCACTTTGAACTGTAGTGTCCATCACAGTGTAAATTTTCTAAAAAATAGGCTCTGAGCCTCTGGGAGTATGGGATTGATCAAAAAATTAGATGTTAGGGTGCAGAAGCATCATTGACTGCTGGCTTAGAATGTGGTATTGAGATTTTTTTTTTTCCCCCCTCTTTTTTGTATTGGTGTCATGAAATGCTCAAGCATGGGAAGATGTTTAGTGAAAAACAGAAATTTAAAGGGTCTTTGTGATATTTGTTTGTAGTTGAAGTATTTTAAGTGCCACGCTAGAGAACTAGCATAGGTCTTTTGTCATCCACAGAGTTAGGTGATGCTGAACAGACACTTAACTTGTACCACCTAATTTGTTCTTTATTTTCTGGCTGTTCAACCATGACGGTTATGCCCAAATTTGCAGCAGTGCTCTAACGCTCAGTATTGCAAGTGAAGTGAATTGACACTGTTCACTGAATGTATAAAGTGACATAGAAATACAAAATCCTGAGAGACATTTACGATGATGATGGCTTTGATCTTTGTACCTTTTTCACTCTAAAATAAAAATGTTGTGCAGTAGTGTGGTGAAATGAGATTACATGTTCTGGTGAACATCACTGAAAAAAATAAATGCCTTTGAGCCTATTACAGGTTCAGATAGCATATGGTAAACAAAAAGCACACTGAATAACTAGAGGAAAAAGAGCTATCAAATAACTACCTGTATTGATCATTAAATGGTGTGGAGGTCGTGGTGTATTATTGTGAAATGAAGCTGTCATACGTATAAAACAAACTAAATTAGGGTTACATAAAACACTGTATGCTAAGCATACTAGATTAAAAGTATTGTGGGTAACTTTGTTGGTCAAATGTAAGTAACTTTTTCTTTCCTTTTCTTTCTCTCCTCATACCACCCCTGTTTCTCTTTCTGGATTGCTGCTGCACCGGCGTGGACTCGTGGCTGCAATGGTTCAAATTTATCACTGTACTGGACTACTTTTGGATGTATTCTGTTGGTATCTTCAACACTGGAAATGATGGACATGTGTTGTTTACAAAGTAGCTGTAAGTATTACTTTGATAAAGATGTATTACAATATGTAATATTAGAATAGCGGCAATAGAAGAAGCATTACGGTTTTAGTAGGTGAACTGAAACTGAGCTTAGGTAGCAGGTGGTTGAAAATCAGGAAGGGATAAAAGTTAGGGGGAAACTATTGTAAGTATTAGAAACATGAGATCTCACCTGGCACAACGATAATACAGTGGAAGTCAATGCTTCAACAAAAAAAGTAATAAGTAACTTCTTTTAAAAGCTGTTGGAGGAATTTAAGAAACTCAATTCCTAGTTTGTTTTGGTCTGTTTAGAAGTAGCAAGTTATGAACAAATGCAACCATTTAAAAATCAGTATGTTGAAAGCTTCAATTTTAATTGGTATTGGTATACCAGAAACCTGAATCTGGTGTCTGACTTCATTTTTTTAAAAGCCTCTTTCCTATGAAGTATAAATGCTCACATTAAATACAGCATTAATGCCAAGTGTAACACTTCATACATCTTTCTGGTTCGTAACATTTATATTTCATTATCTAAAATTATGGCTGTATATGCTATAGACCCACTTAACAGAGCAAACAACCCCAAAATTGCCATCTATTCTTGTTTAGCATGTCATACTCAGTGTTCTTAAAGTTCTTAGTAGTAAAACTATCCTAAATGTGGAGCTATAGGTGAAGGGGAAGAGAAAAGAAATAAAAATAATTTAAAACAAGAATTACATGTAAACCCATTCTTTTAAGCAAAAGAAGTATTACCTAGATTTGGTGATGGGGTGACCTGTTTCTGGTAAGCATGACATACATAAAAGGCATGTAGGCATTAAAAGATGCAGGTGGTTGACAAGTAGAACTATAAGGAGTGTCTGACTGTGATTAGATATTTTACATCTGTTAGGATGAATAGCAGTTGCATATCCTTAATAGTCATTAGGGACCTGCACTGTTAAGGAGCTCTTTAATATCTTAAAGAGCACCCACTTGCATGTCATGTAGTATCTCTGAAGCATTGGCTTCTGTTTAGGGTTTTAGATCGTGATAGATTGTATTCGTCACATGTCGTTGTAGTAATAAATTGGAAAAGTAAAACAGTCTTTGGATTTTTAAATTCCTGGCTGATTTTTTTTTTAAATCTTTTGAAACCTTTCAGATGAGACTATTGCTGCACCAAAGGCTGAAATGAAACAAAAAGCGTCTTAAAAAAAGAGTTTATTGATGACACAAGGCAAACATTCCTACATTTAGAGAAGTAACAACATTTGTTGCATTGTGTGTATTTGAACTTGAAACTATAACACACCTAGCTTTGGCTGGCTATCATTAGATGTTCCTCTCTTATTCTGTATGAGTTAATGAGTTTAAAGATACTGCCTTTTTTTAAACTTGAAAGAGAATTGATGCACTGGGTTATCACTAAATGAGAGCTGATACTAATTTGCAGTAGGATTAAATCTATTTTTTTCAAAGTAGTCCTGCTAAGTTTGGACTTTTCAGACTTACTTAAAATTGATGATGGCACCAGCATAATATGTCTTTGTAGTGGTGTATCATTGCTTGAGAATAATGATTTGTTTGCCAAACGGAGAAATCAGTTATGTGACTTAAAGCTGAGAGTCAATTCATTGACTAGTGCTGTTGGATTGCAAAGAAGCTAGTTCTTCTTGCATTCAGTGCTTTAAAAGGGATAGTGTTTTTATATCCTTGCAAGCAATGTTTGCTTTAATTAAAAAAAAAAAAAAAAATTTTTTAAACTCCAGGAGTTATTACTGTAATAAGTTTATCTGTCAATTTTAGAAAAAACATCCAAATAAGCGTGAGTCATCCACATACCAAACTTTAATTAACCATATGCTATCCCATACAGAGAAGTTCTGAGGCAATAGTGCCTATAGTGGAACAGACTTTTATTTTTTAAATTATTTTTTAGAATTGCTCTATCCTCTTGAAGATAATCTTAGGGAGGAGAATTTAAACTTGTAGACAGTGCTTCAGGTCTGTGGATGTACGTAACTCTCTTAAGCTCTGAAATTGAGGTAATATCAAATCATATCCTCTCAACTTTGGATGGACATAAAGCCTAATGGCTGAAAGCATTGCTCCATGAGAAACAGTACCTTGTGTTGCTTTAAGTAGACAGTTGTCTCTGAAAATATTTTCAGATTCTCTGTAAAAGAACTAAATTGTCTTGTCTCATAAGACAATCCTCAGACCTGCTGCGATATCAAACACATTTCTAGGATTCTACTGGAAGAGCAGTTTAAAAGTAGCATGGCTGATCTCTGGAGACTCACTGGGTCTAGTACAGTGCGGGAGAGGCATTTTAAGCACCTTCAACATTTTCATTAATGTCATGAGAAGAAGTAATGGCTAACATCCAGAATTCTCTCTTTTCATAGTAGGCAATATTTTGCATAACTTCTTAACAGTTCAAGGCAACTGAAGTTTTGCCTTTATGGAGGGTTTGTTGCAATGCATGCTGCATTAGTGTAGATCTAGATCTAGATTTAACATGAAGGCCTTCAATTGTGTGACCCAGAAGTAGAGGGCATTAAGTTAGTCCCCATCATATTGGGGCATGACTCCCAGGAGTACAGGAAAGCTACACTTACACTACTTGCTTGCCTTTCAACTGGGCATTGGAACAAAGTTGCTATATTTTAATCTGTTTGCACTTGTATGCTCTGGTGCTTGCACAGTCATGATGTGGTCATTGTACTTGCTCAAAATACTGTTAGCATAGCTAACTTTCTGTGCCAGTCTTTTGGCTATCCAGTAAAAAAAAAAAAAAAAAATCAATTTTTCTTATTTATTGTTGCAGTTCATTGCACTGTCTTTGATGTAGACAGCTTAGGTTGTTGAGAGGTTGGGTAGATAGCACCTTTCTACAAATGTGAAAATGAAGTGAACATTTAAATGACTAAAAAAAAATACAAGCAAAGTAAGAAGTTACAAGCTTTTCTTTTAACTTTTTTTTTCCTAAATATCTCTTGTCTTAGCAACAGAAAAACCTTGAAGGATATGTGGGGTTTGCAAATCTTCCAAATCAAGTTTACCGGAAGTCTGTGAAGAGAGGATTTGAATTCACACTCATGGTAGTAGGTAAGTTTCTTTGTTTTGAGTGGTGATCATTAGAAGTATATTGACGTAGTTCTTAAAATCTGTAATGGTGATGTAAATATGTCTTGCATGATCTCATGAGAAAATATGATCTTCCTCTTCTAGACTGTTAAATCTAGAGTGTTTAAAAAGAACATGTTGTCTGATATGCAAGTAGGTGAGGAGGAGAAGAAAGAATGAGAACCATATAGTTCATATGGTCTAAGAAAAAAGTTTGGTGTGGATCTAGTCTAAAATGTGACTTACAAGTATGACATAATAGAAGTAATTTGAACTTGGATTTTCATTTAAATAAAAAAATTGAACTACTTTTAGTTTAGTGCAACACGGCAAACTGGGATCCAAAAGTAAAGTTGGAATCTTTCCTTGCACATAACCAGGCAGCAGGATCCTGTATATCCTGCACTTCTGTGGCCACAAAACTGTGCTACAAAATCAAAGCTTTAATTTAAACAAACCTTTCTAGTTTGTATGGTTGCAAAGAAAACCAAATGTAAACAGTGCATTCCCTATGGACTACAGAGAATGGGAAACTGTAGTTAGTATGGATGAATAATGCCATGCAGAATGGTTCATTTAGGCTTCAGTGATGACCCAAATTGTCTTCTCTCCCTCTAGGACATCTGATTTCCTTTTTTCCCTGTCTTTTAAGTACTTGTATGATAGTAGACCGTTACTAAGGTTGGGTACATCTGTGTGTAACTGATACATAGACACTGGATATGTGACTAAGTTTTGACATGTTAATTATTATAATAATAATATTAATAATAATAATAAAGTGTTTTATAATAGCCAGCTGTCTCTTTGTTAATGTCTACTTTTATCTTTTGTAATTTGGCTAGCTTGATAATGCTTTTATGTTTTGTCATCAATACAATGGATATCTTGTGCAGTCATTATGTACATGTAGCATGTTACATAATAGTACTGTTGATGGAGTTAGAAATCAAGGTCAAATTGGTGAAAACTCATTGTAGATCACTTACAATTTTCTTTTGGTTACAAAGTGAGTTAGAATTTTAAAATTTGAGGGTTGCTTTTTTCTTTTGGACTTGATTACAGGTTCCTTTGTAATCTAGCATCCAAGTACAATTCATTATTCTGTACAAAACTGTTTAGTCTTAAATAAAATTTGGTTTTCAGCTATCTACAGGAAAAAGGGAGGAGGAAGGGAGGGAACTGTCTTCATAAAGTATTATTCCAATATGGGGTATAATTTGCTTCTTGCAAGAATGAAACTTGGAAGTACAAGTCACTTAAAGCAGAAGTAGTAGGTGTAGCAATGTATTAGAACTGGAGAAAGTGTGTAAGATTACCTTGGTGTTCTTACATTTGCCTGTAGTACAGTCTAATGCAATTGCACTTAGGAGAACTGTAGAAAATTGTGGCCATCGAGAAGAAAATTTGGTCCAAAATTAGACTGAAAATGAGATGTTGATCAGAAAATTTTGCTACTAGCTTACTTTTAATATTTTTGTACTTACTACTAAGACTTAATTCATTTGCATGCAGATTTGTGCCATTGTCTGAAAGTTTACTGGGAGAATTGGCAGTAGTTTTCTAAATTAAAAATGCATCTCATTCCCTCCTTCCAACACCCAAGTATAGAAATAAGATACTTGAAAGTGAGTGTTTAAACAAAGTGATGGCTGATCTTTTAGCACTTTAACATCTGGCGAGGGGTACGGGGGGAGAAATGATTTTGTTTCAAAGTGATGTGTCTGGTAATAGTATGCCCTGAAAAAATGTGTCTATTTTAAATATGAAGATGAAATAGTTTGTGTATTACTGATCACTTTTGTTGGTAAACATTGTAATGTAATGTGCAGTTAGATTCTTAGAATTGTAATTATTTATTGCTGCGTTCATCCTTTGAGATAGTGTACTCTGACTTGGTTTGAGGTCTTTAACTGACATTATGATACAGTTCTGTAACAGTAAATGGAATTATCTGTAATTTACTTACTGAAACCGAAAAGTTTTAGAATGTAGTGCTAATGTGTATATGGCTGAATGAGAATACTGTGTATATCATCTCTTGGAGATAATCTAAAATATTCTCTTGCTCTTTCTAGTACCAAAAATCGTGCGTGCATGGCTGCCTTTTTCTGTAGATTGCACAATTACTAGTCTGCTGGCTGTGCCTTATTTGTAGGTACTTCAGTGTCAGTATGTTACCTGTTTGTTCTGAAATGAAAAATGAGAAAAACAATGCTTGTGGTTGCTAAACAGGTACAAGGAAGAAAACAAATCATGTTTGCAATCTGTGATCTCTGTATCCAGCTATTTTCAGGTGTCTGTGAGGCTTGATATTGCAGCTAATGCATTTGTATAGAAACTATTTTCCAGCTGTCCATTTAGTCTGGAATTATCAGTTAAACTTAATAGATGCACACAGTGTGATATCTGGCTTCTTTGTCTTGAAATGTGTAGTGTAAAAAGTCACCAGAGCAGCATTTTTGGTTGTACAGCTGTACTGACTGTTGTAGAAACAATTCAGTTTTCAGTTTAAGTATGTAAGACATTTGTCACTGAGGAAGTAGTTAGTACAGCATCCAACACGTTTGACATTGTTTCCAGTAAGAATTTTTGCAGGGAGATAGATCACTTTTACAGAACCTTTCTTGTGCATAAAGCATGAATGTACTCCATAAATTGCATACTTGCGGGCTGCCGAGTTACTGTCATTGCCTGGGAGATGATGGGGCTGCCCATAGCAGTGTGTGGTGGCTTCCTGCACTTCTATTGTGCCAGTGAAGTTGGAGAGGGGGCTTTTAAATTTGGGTGTACATAAGGCCGAGTAGTTGTTGAATAGCCTAGAGCATGGTTTCTGGAGCAGGTTCAGGACATAAGCATTCCTTATCTGACCTGATCTAAGCTGGTTGGGGGCATTGCTTTGGAAGTGGCTCCATTTCAGCCATGTGGGCAGCGCTCTGTCCTGTAACTTGCTCTTTGAGTCAGGACTCAGTAAGATGACTTTATTAGAGGCCTATAAAGCTAGTGAAGTCTTTTCTGTAAATATAGCTGCTAATTTCCAGGTGTTCTGGTGTTTACATTAAGTGTAACTAACGGGTGAAGTATTTATGAACTACACACAAATACAAAAAGTTGATGTTAAAGTATCCTTTTCATATTTAATGTTTTAAGAATCATTGAAAAGTTAACGCCGGTAGGAATTGGGGTTACTCTATAATATTTAGCCATAATAAACATTTCAATAATTGTATTTATGTTTTCTCTAAGTTGTACTGTTTCTTTTGTTAGTGTTTCTAAACTTCTCTTAAGAAACTGAAGACTGAGGTAACCCTTTGTTTTCCTTATTGATTAGTTGTCATTGGACATTAATTTGTCTTTAAAATCTTCATGAGACAATTTCATATTAGTCATATTCTAAAAGGCTAATCAGCAGTTTAAATCACACTACTTCTGAAATGACTTGTAGAACAAAAACTTAACAAGCACCTCCTCTGAGGATAAGACATAAAGGAGGCAGAAATATGCATTAAACTGAGCTTCATTCTTGACGGGTTCAAAATAAGACATTTAGTGGTTTAAAGCAACTAATTCTAAATCTGAAATAATAAAGCTCACCAGTGGAAAAAATGTCAAGTTTGCCTCAACAGGGTGCTTACTTCATAATCTTGTGTGATCTCTTCAAGTATAAGATAGTTGTTGAAACACTTAAGAACCCAACGTAAATATTTGGTCTATTTGAAATCCGAAGTGTATTCTCTGTATTTCTCTGCTGTATAGGTTTTTTGGAGGAAAGTACATGCTTAAGTCAGATGCTTAAGAAAAGAAAACTTCCAGAAGTAATACTACCATGGTTAGTAGCTCACAGTTAAAGAAAATCTTAATTGTGAAATTGTAGTTATGTCTGTTCATTAATATAATTACACTTGCTTAAGTAGTGGGCGTGTGTTTTTCTTTTTGTTTTAGTTTAACGAGGTGTGGAACAAACAGAGCTGCTTTTCAGTGTCTCTCTTCTAAACACTGAATCAGGAAATCCCTCTTTTGTTGTTCTTGTATTGAAATTACGCTGGTAACGTGATTTGAACCAACACCCAAGTAGATGCAAAGTCATAATCTTTAAAAATTCTTTTCTCCTATAGACTTTATGTACTTAAGAATAATTATTTGGGGTGGCTTTTCCCTTTAAGGTGTTGAGGCTTCATGAGCCTTATTAGAGGTTGGACTCTTAAATTTTATTTTATTTAAAATCATCTGATTTGCAAAGTGCAGAACACTTACAGCCAAGTTACTTTCCAGAGGACCTTTCTACAGTTCCTATTTCTTGAACAACTGTTTGGTAGCTTTGACTTTGAAAGCTGTATTGAAACCTCTCCTATAGTAAATTGTCTGGTTTGTTTTCTAATTGTTGCTTTAGCCTTGTAGATCACCTGTAGATTACAACTTACAGGAGAATGTCATGCAGTATTGTCATAGTGTTTCATTTGTAATTATATGCACACTCAAATGTTTTGGTTTAAACATGGCTTTTTGGCATGGACTCAAAGGAAAGGGCTGTATTTTGCAAGACTTGAAGTTACGTTAAAGAAAAAGCACACTCTGACTTTAAAACGCTTTTATTGTTCACTGAAGAAAACTTGGACTGGTTTAATGCTGGTATCTTTGGGTGATGGATCATGTTCTGATTAGGGTTACCCCTTTAATTTGTTCACTTTCTGGTGCAGTTTATTTATCAAGTCAACCAGTGGTCCCAAGAGCCTCAGATGCTCACAGCTACTTGTTCTTTGCTGGTCTGATACCCTCCCCCCCTCCCCCATTTTTAAAGCCAAGAACAAGATCATTAAGCATATGGCAGGATAGAAAAACAATTAAGTGAAAAATATCTGTGGATGGGCAGTTCAATTTAGTAGAAGCCGTTTTGGGATGTTCCCCGTTCTTGTTCACCTGCTGTGATTTGAAATCCTCTTAATTAAGGTTTCTGTGGTGTCCCTACTACCACAGTATCCGAG